TTTGTGCCAGTTGTTAATGAAAATGTTGAATAAGATTAGTCACAAGCCCAAGAGAAACTCTACTAGTAACCTCCCTCCTGCCTGACAGTTCACTTTTCAGCATGACCCATTGTAGGCTCCCCTATAACCAGTTCCTTACCAACCTTTGGAGTCTTGTATTAAGCCCCAACTTCTCCAATTTGACTAATAATTTCCCATGTGGAACTGTATCACGTGCCTTACTGAAATCCAGGTAAATTAGATCTACTGCATTTCCTTTGTCTAGAAAATTAGTTATTCTCTCAAAGAAGGAGATCAGGTTGGTCTGACACGATCTACCTTTTGTAGTAAAACCATGTTGTATTTTATCCCAATTACCATTTACCTCTATGTCCTTAACTACTCTCACTTTCAAAAGTTGTTCTGAGACCTCGCATACAATTGAGATCAAACTAATGGATCTGTAGTTTCCCAGATCACCTTTTTTCCCCTTTCTTAAATATAGGTACAGTATTTGCAATTCACCGGTCTTCAGGTACAACCCCCAAGTTTACAGAATCATTAAAATCCTTGCTATTGGGCTTGCAATTTTGTGTGCCTGTTCCTTTAATATTCTTGGATGGAGATTATCTGGGTCTTCTGATTTAGTCCCATTAAGGTGTTTGAGTTTGGCTTCCACCTTGGATGTGGTCATTTCTGCTTCCATCTCCTTATTCCCATTATCCACCCTTCCACTGCCCCCCTCTCCTCACTAACCTTATCAAAAACTGAGGCAAAGTATTTGTTTAGGTGCTGGGCCAGACCTAGATTATCTCTAATCTCCACCCCATCCTCAGTATTTAGTTGTCCCACTTCTTTTTTCCTTGTTTTCTTTTTATTTATATGACTAAAGAACCTTTTACTACTGGTTTTAATTTCCTTTACAAGATCCAATGCTGCTTGGCTTTTGGCAGTTCTCTTCCCTCCCCCTCCCCCCCCCCCACCACACACACACACACACACACACACTTTCTGACAGTCAAGAGATTCTTGTTCATCCAGTTTGGTCTGCAGCCCTTACCCATGAATTTTTTCCCCCTTGTTTGGGGTGCAGGCTTCAGATAGTTTTGCATCTTTGACTTAAAGAAATTCCAAACATTCTCCACATTCAGATCCTTGAGTTTTTCAGTCCCATCCACTTCCCTGATTTCCTTAATTTTTTAAAGTTTACCCTGTTGAAATCAAGGACCCTAGTTGCAGACCTATTATTGTTTATCCTTCCATTTAGTTTAAACTGAATTAAATAATGATAGCTCGAACCAAGGTTGTCCTGTTCTTCAGTGATGTCCTCACTACTTACCAATACTAAATCTAAAATGGCATCACCACTTGTTGGTTCGGTTGACTATTTGCTGTCTTCTCTGCCACTGCTCCTACCATAAAATTGTCACTGATAAAGTTTACGGATGACACAAAAACTGGGGGGAGTGATAAATAATGAAGAGGATAGGCCACTGACAGAGCAATCTGGATCTCTTGGTAAAATGGGAGCAAGCAAACCATATGCATTTTAATATGTAAATATAAAATAACATGCTAGCATGTAAATGTATAATCTAGGAACAAGGAATTTAGGCCATACTTATAGGATGGGGACTCTATCCTGGGAAGCACTGACTCTGAAAAAGATTTGCGGGATTTGTGGATAATCAGGTAAATATGAGCTGCCGGTGCTACACAGTGGCCAAAAGGGCTAATGCGATCCTCGGATGCATAAACAGAGGAATCTTGAGGAGGAGCAGAGAGGTTATTTTACTTCTGTATTTGGCACTGCTGCAACTGCTTCTGGAGTACCGTGTCCAGGTCTGGTGCCCACAAGTCAAGGAGGATGTTGAAAAATTGGAGAGGGTTCAGAGAAGAGCCACGAGAATGATTAAAGAGTTAGAAAACCTGACTTGCAGTGATAGACTCAAGGAGAGCGGTCTGTTTAGCTTAACAAAGAGAAGGTTAAGGATTTACTTGATTACAATCTGTAAGTACCTACATGAGGAACAGCTATTTAATAATGGGCTCTCATTCTAGCAGAGAAAGGCAGAACATGATCCAGTGGGTATGGAAGTTGAAGCTAGACAAATTCAGATGGGAAATAAGGTGTAACTGTTTAACAGTGAGAGTAATTAGCCATTGGAACAATGTACCAAGGGTCATGGTGGATTCTCCATCACTGCATCACTGACTAGTTTTAAATTAAGTTTGGATGTTTTTCTAAAACGTAGGGATCGTTTTGGGAAAGTTCTCTGGCCTGTGCAATGCAGGAGGTTAGATTAGGTGTTCGCAATGATCCTGTCTGGCCTTGGAATCTGTGACTCTAGCTCCCAGAGCTGTGTGGAACTAACCAGCTGCGCTCTGCTGGGGACAGGCCAGGCCTTTCTTTGCTATTTGATTCACGTGGGCTTTCGCCCCTTGGGGTTTTGCTTTGACCCTTGGATGCAAACAAACCCCAAAACGGAAAGTAAAACTCCACTAGCACCTCCATGTTATGCCTGATTTTGAGCAAAACCCAGTTTTGCAGGAATTTCACCCAAAGCCCTGACTTCGGCTTATGTTTGCTGAAAAGTTTGTAAACTTCGCCTGAGTTTGAGGTTGATAATGGAATTTGCAATCAGACAAATCCTTTTCTTTCTTCCTCTCTCAAGCTGTCTCTTGCTTTCAGCCCTCTCTCTGCTCTATAAACTATACGGCCACATTTGTGTTTGCTTGAATAGCAACAAGAAGAGAGAGTATAACCAACTAGATGGAGGAGGATGGGAGGGGGGAGTCCACTTCCAACAGACGCACAGGATTTGCAAGATGAAAGGCAGGCAGCAGGCCTGTGACAGATGTGAAGGGTGTAAAGAGCAAGAGTCAGCATGTGTGAAGAGTTCTGAGCTGGGAGATCAGATGCTGCATCGCTAAATAATAATAGAAATCTCTACCCAAGCTTGAAAATCCAGGGCTTGAGTTTGCTCTCCTATCAGTGCAGATCAGGGGTAACTGCTTTGAAATCAGTGGGGTTACTTTAAGCTTAGATGATTCTGTTCTGTTCGACGGGGCAAAATGAATGCAAGTTGCCCAGGCTTTTCCCAACCCGGATCAGAGCTTTGTTAGAAGTTGCTCATTTTTACAACCTGTCTTCTTTAGTAAATTGAAATCTAAATCTGGAAAGAGAGATCCCGAGTTGCTCAACCCGGAAAAACCACCTTATGCGAAACCTCCATGCCCGAGGGTGACGGACAGGGTGAATGGGATCCCCTCCCCACCCTTATAATTTCACTAAAGCCATAATAATTGCATCAGACCCATTGAGGTCTTCTGCTTCTGTCCCTGCTAAACAGCTACCCATTCCTTGCCCCTGGTGTTTTATGAAGTCAGAGCTACAGCTTTTATTACTGTAATCTTAGCATCTCTGATGCTCCTATAATCTTTTTGTCTGCAATTGTGAGGCCAGGAAAATAGAAATCTGGAGCAGGTTTCCTAAGCTGTTGAATGGGAGGCGGAGACTTAGAAATTGGACTTGCAATTAATGGAATTAATAAATACACTTCTGAGCATGATTTGATGGATGGAACAACATGGACCAACCTAAAGACCAAACAACCTCCTCACCCCCAACTGACAAGGAACCAGACTCCCTTTCCTGAGCCAGGCATATAGGAAGCACAGACAAGTTATATTCTCTCATTAGGAACAAGGCCCCCAATAGTCCTATACCTTGGATATGTGTTTACATCAAAGAGAGTTCAGTGTTGCTTTCACCTGTTTCTTAGAGCTAGAATTAAAGCAGATGCCCCTACTCCCGCAAAGCACTTAAAACCATCCCAATCCAGTTTAAGTGCAAACTTGAATCCATCCTTATTCAACAGAGCACTTAACCCTGGGCTTAAGTCCCGCTGACTTCACTGCTCACACTTATGCACTTTCTGGCCTGATTCAAAGCCCGTTCAAGTCAGCACACTCCCATCGAGTCCAGTGGGCTTTGGATTAGGCCATTGGTGTAACTGGATGGACTTCAAGTATGTTGCTTAAGTGCTTTGCTGAATCAAGGCCAGATGGAATGGGAGAGGGAGAGCCGATGTCCGTCGTTAGACGAATGTGCATTAGGCTCTCACCATGCGCGTTCTTTGCAGACGGATTTGCTTAGCACTCTCAGCAACCTGTGTCTGCAGAGGCTGGTTTTTCACAGGCAGATGTGGTGGTGAGGTGTTTTGCCTGCAGACAGATGCCCCCTGTAACTTCGTGGAAAACTTAGGCCCCCGGTGGTTGGGAATTATTTTCCATCCTATTGGCCCGATGAAACAGTGGAAGCTGCCATCCTCTGTAAGCTGCCAGGCGAAAGTGATACTTACAGGGTGCCCCTGGGGCTGCGGAGAAAAGATCCTAACATAGCCGATTCAGATCAGGGTGGACAATGCCCACCCTGAGGACGGCAGCGGAAGAAAATTTCAGCTGCCCGTCATCGTCTAAATTTAGGATGTCGTTCATCTGGAATCTACTGCTCCAGCTCGTCACCAGGCAGAGTGACAGAATATGTAAAATTAATTTCTGAGGTGGGAAATAGCTAATAATTTATTTACAGCTAGGGCAGGGAAGCGGGGAGGGGGCTTGATACAGGGTTTTCTTTAATGCAATGTCAATGCTGTTCAGCTTCCTGTGAGCTCGCCCTATTAGCTGAGACAACATCTTGCCACCCCCCTTGGCCTATCAGTGTGGCTGCGCGCAGGAGAGAGGAGTTTTCTCGTCACTGCACAGGTCACCCACAGGGCTCTAATTGACCGCACAGCAAAGCCTGCGGTGGGCTCCCACCGGGGCCGGTGTGTGCGCGCAGCATGGCTCATCGCAGCAGCATGCATTTGGGGATAGTGGCGGTGGGTGGGATAAGGTCAGGGGAGCATGCTAGACGTGCACGGCTGGTGGTGTGACCGAGTGTGTCTCTGAGCTGTAGGAGGTGTCCTGTTCGGCAAGTGTCACTTACCTCTTTGTTTGTTTGTTTGTTTGTTTAACAGGATACACACCCACTGGGATTTAAACATCTCCTTCCGAGAGACCTCTTGCAGGTACCATTTTGGGGCACCCTCTTTGTATGGTAGGCTAAGAGTTTATGTTACACATTACTGGCCTATGGATGCAGTTAGAAATGAAATACCATTCCTGCATGTTTGTTTTCTTTCTTTCTTTCTTTCTTTCTTTCTTTCTGAGAAGACAAATCAGTCAATCCTATAAAAGGATGCACTTACTGTTGTCTAAAGATGTTTTTTTTTCAGCTCTACTTTTTCAAAGCATGGAAAATCACTGTGCCCCTAACTGATGCTAATCAGTGGGTGGTGGGTGTGTAGATGTCTGTGCAATATCATTAAGACCCTGATCCTGCAAGCAGTTCTGCATGTGGGTAGCTCCATTGGAACCTTTGGGCTGTTCACCTGCATAATGTTAAGCATGCGTTTAAGAGAGTGTGGGATCAAAGTCTAAAGCTGCCAGAGTGACTTGGTGGCTCTTACAGTTACCTTTAATGCATGGGTGGGGGGAATTTAGACATTTAAAATCACCTTAAAAGACAAACCTTTTCACTAGGAGGGTGGTGAAGTACTGGAATGCGTTACCTAGGGAGGTGGTGGAGTCTCCTTCCTTGGAGGTTTTTAAGGCCTGGCTTGACAAAGCCCTGGCTGGGATGATTTAGTTGGGAATTGGTCCTGCTTTGAGCAGGGGGTTGGACTAGATGACCTCCTGAGGTCCCTTCCAACCCTGATATTCTATGATTCTATGAAAAAAGAATAAAATAAGAGAAAAGCCTTAACTGAGAGAGAACGTAGGAATTGCCATCCCAGTTTAGATCATTCATCTTTTAAGTCTGGTATCCTGCAGTGATCAATACCTGAAAAAGGTCAAAATCCACCCACTGTCAATAGCTTATTATTACAATGCTTTGCACAAATGGGAAAATTCCTTCCTGTCCCTTACAGTGATCAGTTGATGTCCTGAAGCATGAGATTTGACTATCCTTTATGATCGTATGTACACTATAACTGCAAGCGTTACTGCTGGTCATGAAATTATCCAGCCCTTGTAAAAGTCTAGCCACAGTATTTGCCTCTATAGAGAAGAGAGGAATGCATGTTCTAACTTCTGTTTTATATGAAACTCACTATTTGCCAGTGAAGTGCTTGAACCGGGCATATGCTGTTTGTTTTCTGGAGGAGAGACAAATCATTACACATGGCTAATAAAGAACAGGTGGTCCCGTGAAACTTCTCGGCATGGGAAACCTGAAGGAAGTGTCTCTTCTACAGAAGGATGTTGCTGGGTCCAAACAGAGTGGGCCGGATTCTGATCCTTGTTGTCCTGGATAATTGATTGAAGTTGATGGAGTTACTCCGGATTTATGCTGTTGAGGCATCTGGCAAAATCTAGGCAAAATCTGGCCTAGAGGATCTCAAATTGTATAGCATGCAAATTAATTAACTTTCAATTAACAACCCAGCAACAATTTCTGATGCTCTCTGCAGAATTCCTGTTCAGTTCTAGAACTAAGTGAACAATGGGAAAATATTTATTATTATTTTAGTTGCAATAATGTCCACTATGTGCTAGGCGCTTTCCAAACAAACACTTCAGAAGGATGGCCCATGATCTACGGAGCTCAGAATCTAAGGACAAGCAAGGGCATTTAATTGAATAATTTATCTGATGAGTTTTTGACTAGCACTGTATGACTGTCTCGCTGCATCCTCGTGTAGTACTTACCCAAGAGAACATAAGGTAGCAGCTTTAGAAAACATGTAAATTTCAATATTGCAACTCATCTGGGTTGTTCTCTTTATAAGCTTCAGAATGTTTCATGAAAAGTAAATATCAGTGGCAGCAGGAGACTGTATTAGAAATGACTTCCAACTCTATCACCTGCCCTTCAAACACAACTCAGACAACTTCTGCTTCCTGGCTGTGAGCCCCTGTAAAATCTTGTGTGGAGTGGCGGGGAGACAAGAGGACCTTAGGAGAAAGATTGTATTTTTGACACCCTCTGTCCCCTCTCTCAAAAATCTTGAACTTTAAATCAGACATTTTGGGCTGTTTTATTGGAGGTATTTCTGTGAAGGTTCTCATCTAAATTATAAACCATGGGGTGAGATCTCTGTTGTTTTTATTATTTATTTATTTATTTATTTATTTATTTATTTATTTATTTATTTTTGGTCCCTGATTTGATTCAGCAAGGCATTTAGATACACGCATAAATCCATCCCTATTCAACCAAGCATTTAAGCATGTGCTTAAGTTCTTGGCTGAATTGAGGCCTGGCATCCTCATTTGGAGCATTGAAGGCACTGTGGAGTGAGGTGTGAAATTTGTGCTGATTCACACCCCATTAGGAGCCATTGAAAGCAGTGGGCTTAATTGGGGTTTAAATCAGTGCAGCATTCAGCCCAAGTCTGGGAAAATTTCATTCTTAAAATTTTAAGAGTACAAAACCACAGCCCAAATCAGGAGATTCTAACCCAGTCTTGCAAGCTCACCTCAATCAGAACACCCCTTGAAACCATTAGGAGTTCCATGTCCAGACAGCTTTCAGGATAAGGTCCCTATGTTGTTGATTTAAGCTTATGGGACTTCAAAATTCAAATGAATGGATTCCTTCACGGCAGACCCTTTCATGATAAATTTCAGCCTGGAGTGAAATTTTATGGCCCAGTTATAAACTCCTAAAAAGACCGGAGGTTTATAATGGAAGTGCTTATACAAGCCTTAACTAATAGCCATGTGAACAATCAGTCTGGAGTTTAATACAGCTGTGACTAAAGGTGCACACACCTTTTGAAAATTAAAATTCCCACCTTTTAAAAATACTATTTTTGAAACTGCAATGCCAAGGCTGAAATAATGGTTTAATTTTTATGTCTGTGAGCAGATTTCTCTGTCTTCCCCCATTTAACTGTTTATTTCCTGTAGCTCTTTCCTGACAACTTAGTTCCAACATTTGGACAGTCCTTTTCCACAGTACTCAGAGAACTCAAACTCAGCACGTGCCCACTATCATTGTGACTTGGCAGTTGTATAGTAAGATACAAGTTTTGCCACAGCAAATCAAACGTCTGGTCCAGTTACCTCAAGAAGTGGCCAGTCTTAACGTTCCAGCAAAAAGCAGCCAGTTCCCTGTAATGCAGCAAAGTAATTGTGCAACCAACTGATGCCCTAAAACATGAGATTTGTGGATTCTTAACACTGGTTTGCTCGGAAGAAACATTTAAAGGGACAACGCTTAGTAAAAAGGGGCAGAATTTGGCTTAACATCTGGTTGGGAATTCTTTTGGATTCCAATTGGGTGTTCACTGTAATTGCTTAATTGTTTATGTAGGCCCTACACAAAGCAATGTTCTATCCTTCTGATGACACAACGGCCTCAGCTAAGTGACCTGAGCTGGTGACCTGGTCCCACATAACAATTAGATATAACGGTCAATAATTCAGCTAAATCACATTCTGATTTCTTGAAATGTAGCTTCTGCATGAGATTTCAATGAGTTTTAACTATGTGGGTAGTCTGTTATTCCATTATTAAGATAATCTGAGGCCTGATTCTGAATTTCTTCAAGGAGCCAATTTAAAATTAATTTTAATTCAAATTAATTAACAGATTTATTTGTAAATTCCATTCTGTCCTCAACCTATAAGTGCTGTAATTTGGGGGAATAATAAAGAGGTAGAATCCCTGGTTTAAGTACAAACCCAGCTCAGCCTTAACTGTAGAACCATGAGCGATGCCTCCATAATAGACTAGACCTGGCCAGGTGAACACTCCGGTGTCCATTGTGAAATCAGAGGTAACTCAGCCAATCACCCCTCTTCCTCTACAGCCAATTTGCATGCTACCATTCTATTTGCTCTAGAGAATCAGTGGTCTGACTCCTTAAAGGCTCCTTGGCAGCATACTAGCTTGGGCATTGGTACTTTGAAAGGTTTCCCATGGCACTGCCATTTTGGCTTCGGTCTGGGCTGAAGCACAGAGAAGCTGAGGCAGGAGTGAACAGGGCTCTTCCCCTCCCCACGCATGCCGCAGCCCTTCTCAGTTCCCTGTCACTGCTTCCTTCTGCCCCCACCCCACATCCCCACTTCCTCCCCCATCAGCCCCTCAAATCCCTGCTCACCCTCATGCCTGTCTGCTTTCCCCTCTGCACCCTGCTGCTTTCTGCCATTGGAGGAAGCTGCAGGGGAGACGTCGGCTTCTGCCGGCGTCTGTTGCTCTCTCAGACTCCAGTTGAAGTCGCTGTCCCCCTCACCTTGACCTGTCCCCTCTGTCTGCTGACTCCTGCTGACTGTGGGTGCTCAGTAACTGTGCAAATCAAGCCCCCAATTTTCTGCTTCGGCCTCCCGTTCAGGTGTAGATGACAGCGGGTGCAAATTTGAGCCTGCCATCTAGGTCACTTAGATATTTTACACCCCTGATTTGCCAGGGCAGAAAAGAAACTGGCGTCTGTTTAAGCGACCTAAATTGCCTTACAACTCTGTGAAATATGTGGCGCCACTGGACTACATGATGGGGCGGCATAAAGGTTTTACTGACCCTTGTTCGAGGTGACACACATAACTCACCACTCATGAGTTATGCAGGTCATCCCAGACTCCTGCTGCGATACCTTTATGCTGCACCGCACTGTCATGTGGTTCTCTCCCCCCTTCTTTTCAATCAAAAGGGTGTTGCCTTCTGACTTGCCCTGCCTCTCTGTCAAAAGGTTGCCTTTGATCTTCCTTTCCAAGTCGTCAGAGGTTGCCTGGATTTGTTGGAGTCTGGTCACCTTACAGTCGCGGTCTGTGTTGCCCTTGATGAAAGGAGGTTTAATTGGGTACATACAGGTCTGCACACAGGCACCAAAAGATCAACATTGGGAACTGCCCTGAAAAGGGAGATTAAGATCTCTCCGAGGGCCTGCCAGGTGCTCCTTTTTCTTTTATGCTTTGAAATGAATGTGATGGCTGGGGCTGGCGTTTTAGCAAAGTTCCCGAGTGCCTCTGTTGAAAACAATGGGCTCCGTACAGTAACGTTCCCTTGCACAGACGTGGTGTT